GACCAGTACTCTGGCAACAACTCTCGTTGGGAGCTCTGCTGGAGGAGTTCAAGGTCCCCTTTCACACCATATCAGTAGGTGAGCAGCAGAGAGCTCACCTACTGAATGCTGGGAGAGGCACTGGTAACGGTGGAAGTCTTTAGATGGCCCCATTTGCCCCAGGATAGGGTTGCTTGAGGCTTTCAACTAAAACTGAATGAGGCTGATGATAGTAGTGATGATGACTCTAGCTCTTCAGCTCTGAATGCATGCATATAGAAGAAAAGGGCATAGACAGTGATTAGCCACAAGGGTTTTTGTTCCATTGTGAAGATAAATTAAAACCTTGTAAGTGTAATCTTTGGACTAATTCAGAGATATTACCCAGACCTGTGCTAAGCCAAGTGCCACTCTTTTCTTAACCTATGTATTATATAATTTTAACATTATCTTTAATAATTTTTTTATATCTCCTTTGAAGTACTGGTACATCAATAGAATTCATCATAGGGTCCTGACAGTCAGCAAGGAAGGGGTCAAAGTAAGCAAGCTTTTGAGAATCACATACTCTTCCCAACAAATCTTAATTCTAGACTGCATATGGGCCTACTTCATTGTTTCCATAGCCTGATGAAGAGAGTACTATGCTTATTATTGCCTTGAAAGGTCATTGTCAGCTTCAGAACTATTTGCTTGCCTTTATCATCTGTCTGCAGTTAGAATCAGGCTTTTACCAATTCTGAGGTTGAGGGTTTTTTTTGCTAGTTGTCATGAATAAAAGAGGTGACATGCTCAACAGTGCCTTATTTGCTGGTTTGTGTGCCCCAGCAAAATGATATAGCTGTGCTCATGCATTTCATTGGAAACCTGGCTCTTGTATTTCTGATCCTTACAGGAAATGTGACACCACCAGCATTGAGACCTTCTGCCGTGTATTAATATTATGTATTGCAAGTGTAAGTGAACTGTGCTTTTTAAAAAGCATCTTGTGCGTTATATATGTAAGGACGCGTGCCTTCTCATGCCACACACTGCAAGCAATCCCTTCTCATCCAGCTCCATGAGGGTTCCCAGAGACAGCTCCCTAGCTCTTGAGGCTTTGAAGTGGAGAGGGAAATCAATGTCAAAGGATTACTCTTGAGCTTACTAGTACATCAGCTTGTACATCAGTTTCCTCCCCACATCAAAGCCTCAAGTCACTGCTCCTCCAGCTTCTTTAACACACACCCATGCAAAATTCTGGTATAGCCTACCCCAACCCCATCCCCTCACTTCTCACTGCTATTCCTCCCCCACATCCCCAATCCATGTCCATCCTATTACCTTACACATTAAGCTACAAACTCCCATACACACCCTGACACACTGCTTGTCACAATGCCAGACTTCCAAACATATAGGCTCAAAACAACTTTTTTTAAGTGACACCCTAGATTCTGGAGAGCAATTTCACAGCAAGCAGTGGATTCATAGATTCCAAGGTCACAATGGACCATTGTGATCATCTACTCTCACCTCCTGTATAACACAGACCAGGGAACTGCCCCAAAATAATTCTTAGATTCTGCAATCACACATGAGGCCCTGACTTATAACATAACAACAGGTAGCTATCAACGTTGCTATTGGTTCAAAAAATGTCAGGTGGCCTCCCCTCCATTCCCTCCAATCGCATCAGCTTGCAAAGTCCATTCGTTTTATCTTCAAAATAAATGGAAAATACGTATTTCTTGAAAACAAAACATAAAATTCCAACTCCATAATTAAGGAGTCCATAATAACAAAGCTAGTGTGCTTCAATGCCAGATGGAAAAGAACCTTCAAGCATCTTCCCCCCACCCCCTCTCAGCAGCGGTCCTGGATTTTTGCTTAGAAAAGTTTATTGATGCTGAAAGCATTTGTATTGACCTGTCACAGGTGTTTCCAGCCTTGAGAGGTAACAAGATACCGGACATTATAATTACATCACCATATTACACTGCTTGGGGTTTTTTTTCCTGTTTTAACCCTTGATTTGGTTCTAGCAGCAGATATCTTACAAACACTACAGAGTGCAATTCCAAGCTTGCAGATGGTATAAAGCTAGAAATTAATGTTTTAACAACGCAAGACGGCAGCTGCTAAAATAGCGTCAGACTTTAAGGCCTTAACATTCAGCAAAATGCTTAAGCACAAGCCCAACTGTAAGCGCAAGTAGTCCCATTGAAGTGAAATTTAGACCTATGCTCGAGTACCTTGCTGCATTGCGGCCTACTTGAGGAAAAACTCAAAATGATATTCAGAATGATGTGATCTTAAATTGTAATATTTCCTGTGATACATTGGGGGGGGGGGGGAGTAGCTCCCTTTGATGGATGGACAGACAGACAGACAGCTGTAAAATCCCTCTTGGTCTGTTCTCTGCTTGTTTTACCTGTAAAGGGTTAGCAAGCCCATAGGTAAAAGAAAAGGAGTGGGCACCTGACCAAACGAGCCAATGGGAAGGTAGAACTTTTTAAAATTGGGGAAAAAAACTTTCCCTTTGTCTGTTGTTCTCTGGGCTGCAGGGACAGAGCAGCAATGCTATAAGCAGGAATGATGTGTAAAGTTTGAAGCAGGTATGAAAAATTATCTTCCATACCTAGAAGGAAACATTTGGATAGGGAACCTTTAGATAAATGCGATCAGGTTTATTCTTTATTTTGGCTTGTGGAGCTCCTCTGTGCTAACCCCAGATGCTTTTGTTTGCTTGTAACCTTTAAGTTGAACCCCAAGAAGCTATTTTGGGTGCTTAATTCTTGGAAATTGCTCTTTTAAAATCTAGCAAAAGCCTAAGTTCCAGGTGTATTTTCTTTCTTTTTGTTTTAATAAAATTTACCTTTTTTAAGGAGGATTTGGATTTTTGTGTCCTAATAGGTTTGTGCACATGCTGTTTGATTAGCTGGTGGCCACAGCTAATTTCCTTTGTTTTCTTTCTCAGCTCTTCCCCGGGGTGGAGGGAGGGGGGGTGAAAGGGCTTGAGGGTACCCCACAGGGAGGAATTCCCAAGTGTTCCTTCCTGGATCCACAGGGGGCTTTTTGCATTTGGGTGGTGGCAGCATTTACCAAGCCAAGGTCAGAGTTTAACCTTGGGAGTTTAATACAAACCTGGTGTGACAAGTATTAATTTTTAGAATCCTTGCGGGCCCCCACTTTCTGCACTCGGAGTGACAGAGTGGGGATTCAGCCTTGACATCTCCTGACTTGAATGGACTAGAAATGAAATTTTTTACCACTTAAGAGAGGGGTTTTTTTCTACCAGCTTTCCAATGGCATAAAATAGTCTTCATGTTTAGAACTCCTGAGTTGTAAGACATCAGACCTTAAAATGGTATTTATTAAAGCAGATTCTACAATGTGCCCTGAAATTCAGCCAACTGGGGGCAAGCATGAGGGAACCTACAGCTGCTCCACTGAGAATCCTCAGCCCCTAGTACCCAAATTAACAAAATCAATCTCAACTTTTAGGTAAAACCCAAGGACAGAAAGTAAGTCTTTAAAAGCCCAATCTACCACTGGGATATTGAACTGTTATTCTGAACCATTGCCTGCATTGAATCTCCATGAACCAGAACTGAAAATGGTTTAAGTGCTAGTGTTACACACCTTGGTGCACTATGGAGTTTTACATCTGCCTCTGACGCATCTGTTATCAGGCACCGTCAGAGACCAGACTAGATGGAAGGTGGACTGAAAAGGTGTTTCTTTTAAGGGACTACCCAGGTTCCTCACGGTTTGATATAAATAGTAATAAAAATATAGAATAAGAATTATTAAAAGCAACTAGTTTTCACTTTCTGACTATCACGGCTCCGACTGCTAGGCCTAACCATCCCCATCATGGTTTTTGACAGCTGTGGCTTCACTGCCATTGGTACCTATGCTAGCCAGAATAAAGCTAAACTGGGTATACCTACACGTGCTGCAATTACATTACAACTGCAATGTAGACATGCATTATGACTGACATTCGTCGAGTAAGTTAATATGTCAAAGTGTCTCCCCAGCTCATCGCTCTCCTCTAATATCACAGTCTCATCACTCAGCAGGAAGTAGTGCTAGTGACAGGGCACCAGCAGCAGCACCAAGGATAGGAGTGCCCCCATCTGCTATCCCTACCCCAAACTCTCCCACCAGCAGCTGCTGCTCGGAACTCAGCTCCAACTCCAGATCCAGAAACTGTGAGTGGTTGGGCAGGTACCAACTCCTAAAACTAATCCAAACTCACCAGTGAGTCCCAGCCAAGACAGGGCCACAGCCACCGGGGCACACGTTTTGTCTCCACTGCAGAAGCGGCACGTTTGCACACTGAGGTAGCCAACTTGTAATTCAGGTCAACTAACAGAAAGATGCTGTAAACTGTTACTTTGCCTGGCTCCCCCGAGGGGGGAGACACCCATGGTCCCTTCTGACCTTAAAGTCTATGATTCTATGATAGATCCCCACTAGGCTCTCACAGCGAGAGAACCATCTTACTTTGATCTCAAGTTGGTGCTCTCGATGCACAACCACAGTTCTGCAGTGAAAGCCCCAGTGGGGTCAGGGGACAGAACCCTGTAGGAACAGTCACAGCTGGACACCAAGCTACAATCACCTCATCACACAGAGACACTCAGTTAGGCACAGTTGGACACACACACACAGTGTGACACAGCCCCGCAGGGACAGTTACAGGCTCACAGCTGGACAAAAAGCTACAGCCACCTGGTCATGCAGGGACAGTCAGACATGGACAGCCACAGCTGGACACCAGGCTACAATTACCTCGCCACACAGCCAGGTACAATCAGACCCAGCTCCGCAGGGACAGCCACGGTCGGACAGCAGGCTACAGCCACTTGGTCACCAGGGACAGTCAGACACTTACAGTCAGACCCAGCCCCGCAGATCCAGTCACGACCAGACACGCTCGCCACAGCCTAGCCCGGTCGAGCCGTTACCTCCGGGGCCGGCCTCTCTCTCCTCGGCGGACTCGCACCCTCCCACTCTCTATGGTTCGCGCGGCCTAGCGCCGCCGGTCACGTGGTTTCCTCCTAGGGCAGCTGGCAGGAGACAGCGCGCGCGCAGGGTGTCAGGTGCGGGGGCTAGGCCCGGACGTCGGAGAGGACGGCTCCTTGCCGGCCCGGAGGGTGGGGTAGAAGGCTGGGCCCCGCCGCCGCGGCCCCTCAGCCCCGGGGGAGCCGAGGCCGCTAACACAGCCCGGGACCGGGGCGGGTTACTCCGTATGCCCAGCGGGTGAGCATGCGCACTAACCGCGCTGAGGCCGCTGCCTGGGGAGCTCGAGCCCCCTCCCTGAGTCGGAGGGGCGGGTCCTGTGTGGAGGCTGCTCCCCCTCCCCCCGTGCGTCTCCATGGGAGCTGTGGGGGTGAAGCCCATTCCCTGGGCATCCAGGCTGCGCGCCCCTGCGCACCTCCACCCCCGCTGCCCCAGGCCGGGGTCGCTCTCTGGCAGGCTGACCCCCAGCCACCGCCCTGCCCTGGCTCGTGCCTCGCCTGACACCTGCTGCAAGGAACAGGGCTGTTTCATGTGTCACCTGTGGAAAAGCGGCAGCCGGGCGGCTACGTGCGTCCGCTCTGGCACAAACCTAGTTCCACCTGTGCTTTGGTTTTAAATAAAAAATGTCAGCTATGCCTGGCTGTCACACAACCCGAGCCATCATCCTCTGGCTGATTGCTTGTAGGCGTTGCAGTAGGGGTGTCTGGAGATACTATTTGAAGGAGAGTGTAGTAATGCAGTTGTCACACGCAACCCCTGAGATTACTATGGCCACTGAGGCTTGGAGAAGATTCTCCTTTTTCCTCTATTTTATTAGTCTTCTTCATTTGTGCCACTGCCTTTGACAGTATTTTGAGAAGGGTCACTTTCATTGTCTTGATGGTGCTAGAGAATGTTTGTCAGTAATGGCAGCAGATCCATGATGGAAAGTAAACAGGTAACAAGCAGTAGGTAGGTATTTGCATGCAGGGGAGGAGTGGTCTGAGCTCTCAGGCCTATCCTAAAGATGCTTCTAAGTATTTACATTCTGTGGGGACGGTCATTATAGCTGAAGCTGGATAAACAAACACAAGAGCAGAAATATCCTTAACCATTTTTTTTTATAAAGGAATTTAAATCAATTTGAGACACAATTTTAGATGGTACTCTATCAGGAAACAAAATTTGTTTACAATAATGTTTGACAGTGACCCTTTAAGAGAGATGGCTGTAGTGCAATTTTAAACCCCTTTTTGAATAGGGAGGGAAACTAAATGTTACATGGACAAAAACTGAATTGGTAGAGAAAGAAATGTTGTATTCAAGCTTCTCATAGGATAATTCAAACAATAACTATGAAAACCAACTTGGCCACGCTGTATGGACTGTAAAAAAAAAAAAAAAAAAAAAACATGCTATTTAATAAAGGGATCAAGGCCAGAGCAAGCATAGAGTTAAGCTTCATCTTTTTTGGGGTCTGGATATCACAAATAATTTCTGCTTTGTATCACAGATCTATCCATATGCAAATTGCACAAAGATGGACAGTGAGGTGCAGAGGGATGGAAGAATCCTGGATTTGATTGATGATGCATGGAGAGAAGATAAATTACCCTATGAGGATGTAGCAATACCGTTGGTAGGTGAATACTATAGGCTGCTTATAAGCCTGAATTACATTTCTACCCTCTTTAACCTCTTAACAGAGACATGGCATAGCAAATGTGCCTTACAGTTCTGCCAGTTGTACGAATGATGCTCCCACACCCCAGGGGCCAGCTTCCCCATTTATTTTGTGGGGGATTTTTTCCTGTTCTCTCATCTCTCTCGGTGGCTAGAAGAAAAAGTGCTTCTCTCCCTGCAGTCAACTGCCTCTCTTTGGAAGGAGAAAATGCTTTCCCCTATTCCTGACCAGTTATCTATTTCTTTGGATGGTAGAATGCTTCTTCCCATAATTCCCTCTTTCTTTGTGTGGAGTACAGGGCAGACATAAGTGATGCTTTTCCTCCCTTCTACACTTCAGTTTTGCACTGCTTGTGTTTGCAGCAGTTTCCCAAACTCTGGTTTGCAGGCCACAGGTGATCAGCCAGGTTATAGCAGTATGCAGAGAGCTGGCTAGTCACATGATGCTGGCTACTCTTCATTTCCAGCTGCTAAAATGCCATTAAAATAAGAGAAAATAGGTTAAATATTTTCCTACTATTACATGAAAGTAATTGCTGTAGTTGGTACGAGGATGGTATGTAATCATGAAGGTGTCTGTGATATGATATCTATTAAAATGTATCCACACCAGGGGTACCCTCTAACCTGTGTGCTTGGACACACCCATTGTTGGCAGGTCTCTGCTCACAGAGGTACTGCTACACAGGGCAGATTTTCTTAGCGTTACCCCCCACCACCACCTGTGCTTCTACTGCCACTAGTTCAGAGATAGGTGGAGGGGTCCTAATCTTCCCCAGCTACTTCTGGTATTACCGGTCTATGGGGAGGGGTTCCAGGACTCCCCTCTTCCTCAGCTCTTTTAAGTGCTATGCAGCTAGCTGCAGGGGAGGGGGAGGACTCACAGACTTCCCCTTCCCTTGTTCACTTCTGCTGCTGCAAGCCAAGGGAGGAAAAGGGATAACTCCTCCTAGGCTCATTCAGCAACTATTTTTGGTCTATCACAGACTACTTGATGGTACACCAGGATCTTCACAGCCCCCTGTCCTGAGGCACAGACACAGCCTTATCATTAATGGAAACCCCTCATTTAAACCCAGTAAGCCTTGACATTGTAGTCCTTAATTAACAGATTAAAGGCCTTCCTGAACCACTCTATTTTGATGGGCTCGAGGTTGCCTTTCATGTTGAGACACTTCCCAACCAGCAGTGATTTTAGCTCACTGAGTAAGAGTACTTCAGGCTTTTGTACCTACTCTACCTTTTGCCAAGATCCTGTCTTAAGGTAGTGATGGGCTCCCAAATTGTAGGTCTCTCATGCTAGACTTCTTCCCTCCCACATCCACGTACCCAAAAACCTGCAAGGCCTCTCTTCATTCTTTCAGTATGCAAAGTTCTTGAGAAGGTTACTTGAAGGGAATTCGTCTCTGTGGCAGGCTACCTGACTTTCTGGATTTGTTTAACATCACTGCTCCAGAGGGTATTGTCACTAAAGGACCCTGCTGGGATAGCTGTCTTGTTACGTTTTACATTACTTTGAAGTCTGAAGCCTAAAGGCCCATCTCGGGGTCAGCTGGGTCACAGGTGAGGCAGCCTATCCTGTCTGCCTTAGGACAGTCAGTGGTGTCTGTTGCAGGCATATGTATAGCAACTCACTATCTTCACTTAGCTCTGCTGTTTGTATTCAGGCTTTAGGAAACAATCCTACCTCCATCTTACCAATCTGTGATTATGTTTTTGAGACATGGAAGCCCAGACTCTCCAACCCGTTGGAGTTTACTGGGATGTGCCTCATTAAACTGACTAAATATAGAAACAGCTCTGTGCTGGCGTTTGCCTTCATTTTATGATCGGTTCAGTAGATAGTCACTTTTTTGGGTGGTCAGGGATGGGAGAGATTCCACAAGCTATGTACTTACTCTTGAAGATTGAGAATCGTGCACACAAACAGTATCTGTAGAGGAGGAAGAGTTACTTGCAGCATACTTCTGAGGTGTCCTGTCCCTGTGGGCACTCTTACTTAACAGTACAGAGAGGCCCTCTGAGGCCTCAGCCATTGACACAGATTGGATGTTAGCAGGCTATAAAACCAGCATGGCTACTGTGGGATATTCCTTCATTCAACAAAGTCAAGCAGAAGCTGACCGGAAAGTTGGTGTTGTTTAGAGTCATGGGCAGTAGGTGACCCCACTTGAGCCCTGACCCACTACTTCTGCCTTCAGTGTCTGATCCAAAGCCCATTGAAAAGAATGAAAAGACTCCCACTGATTTCAACAGGCTTTGGATCAGGTCCTTAGTGAACAAAATCCTAAAGTTTGAGGAGTTCTGTTTGTCTCATGCTAGGGGTCCCATGACAGGAGTGAGAACCCTGACCAGATATTCTGGGGAATAACACATTCTCTAGCAATTGCACAGTTATGACAGCACTTAGAGAATAATGTTTAAAAGAAAAACAAAACAGTTAAACCATTGCTTGTCCTGACAGCTTGTCTGTTCATCAGTTTTCTGTTACTAAAGCAAACTTTAGAAGTGCTTTCCAGTTTTCTCTATGGCACTAGCACAGCCTCACCTCTTTTAGGTCACTGACCTCAACTTCGAGACAGAGTGCTTATTTTGCTATTTTATTACCTTCTATAGGACAGTAAAAAGATATTTGATAGAATGCCTTATTTAAAATTCTGAAATGGAATACCTATATTTGGACTTCATTGCTGGAGAAAGATTGTAAACAAGCAATAGAATATTTGCACTGATATCTGATATTTATCAGACATTACAATAATTTATTTTGCCACATGTGCACTACTTGGGTCCACCAGCCACCAAGATAGGAAACGAATTCACGTCTCAAACTAAGCACAGAATTCTTGTGGAAAATAGAATGCCCATATTTGGGCTTGTTGATATTTTTAATGGGAGCAGTATGTACAGTACATGTCCTTCTGATGTTCCATCCAGTCTTAGTTGTGGATCTGTGTATTTATCAGTATCAAATGTTACTAACTTGCTTCCGTTAGGGTGCTTTGTAAGTATAGAATGCATTGTACCATTTTGTGTTCTCAGAATGAGCTTCCTGAACCAGAACAAGATAATGGCGGCACAACGGAGTCAGTAAAAGAACAAGAAATGAAATGGACAGACTTGGCTTTACAATATTTGCATGAAAATGTTCCCCCAACAGGAAACTAGAGAATCAGTGTTATTTCATGGAATGATTTCCAATACAAGAAGATGTTTTCCAGCATATCTTCACCATCTCCTGTCCAACTGCTTAAGGAGGAGTCAAAACCTTTAAAAACCTTCTAGTCTCAAACAGCTGCTCTACTCCACAAAAGCAAAATACAGTTTAAAAGGCCCCATGTAACCAATGTAAAATAACTGACATCCTAAAGCTGTGGGGAGATAGAGTGCTTTTTCACTTACACAAAAGCATTTGGAGTCCTGTTGTGTTGACAACTTCTTTACAAGTTCATCTTAATTGTCTTTTGCATATGATCAAAGAGGTAGTTATCACTACCTGAAAGCTGATCATTGATCTCAGAAGTGATTTGGTGAATATTTGTGGTTGCTTTGATGTTTTATAGACCCAAAGCTATTCTTTTATGGTTTGGTGCTACTGTTAGTTGCTCGGGTTTTGCACCATGGTCTCTATGAACCAACTTTTACTGCCTTTAACTTGCCTGTGACACAGGAAGGTTGTTTGGGACAGAGAGAAAGGTTAATGAACAGGATTAAGGGACTGAAATTTGTAAACACAAATGAGACTGGGAAAGAAGTTCTTTATAAAGTAAGCAGTCTTGGAATTTGCCTATTCTGGTTGGAGCACATTCCCAACACGGACATCCTGTAGTCTGTTTACTAACCAGCATACTGTAAAAGAACAATTTATATTAAAAGGCTTTGTTAGTGGTGACTCAAAGTAATTGAGTCACCACCTTTTATGTATGTTTGTGAATTACGTGGAAAGTATTGCTGACCTCAATCCAATTCCCGTGAACGGGTGTCCACACCATTAACAGTCTCAGATAGGAGACAGAGTAAATTGTCATCTCAGCCATGGAGATGTTGCCTGCAGCAAAGGATGGAGACATGTTTATTTTAAAACATGGTCATTGAGATAAGCAGCTGAAATGCCCATTGAAATCAATAAGAGTTGCAACTGCTTACTCCAGGGTTTAATTTGGCTCATGAGAGCCATCATCTTGCTTGCATGAGAATACCAGTCAACAATAGGCATACATTTAACATTATCAGATAGATACATATACAATAGATACATATACAATTAAAACTGATATTACATACAAAAACTACATTAAGAGAATGTTATAGTTGCAAAGTCAAACATGTGAAAGTTAGGAAATACCAGAATAAAGGTTCTGTGTAACCTTAATTCTACCCCCCTTTGCATACTTATTATGAATGTTCTTGTACTACTTTTTCTACAGGTCCCCACCTCATTCAGTGCACAGAATCGACAGGGCACCAGGATTGAACTAGGGTTGTGCAGCTTGCCCCAAATGCAGTGATTCATAGGAGTCGTCCTCATGACTAATGTTGCTCAGGAACTACAGCAATGCATGCATTGGCTACTCTGACAATACAGTACCCTTTCCCCAACCACCTTTTATCCACCAATGGGGCTATGCTGGCAGGCCCCCTGGTGGAGGGGAATTTGTAGGTAACTTGTGCCATTGCAACTGCCTTCTAGACAGACTTTCTGCTTCTGGGCACAGTCTGTACCTGTGTAACCTAGATTTACTCTATCCCATAATGTAATTTCTTCATATTCTGCTGTAGCAAATACACTGAGTCTTGGCCCTGCTGAAATGAAATATTTTCTCTTGGCTAGAAACTTTAACCTAATTTAAATATGAAGATGTAAGAATGCCGAAATCTTTTTAGAAACAGCAGAATAATATGCAAAGATCAGGAAAACAAGAGCAACCAGATATGGATGGTGCTTGGCAGAGGGATTGTAGTGTGTGTGTGTGTGTGTCACAGTGGGCCCCAATCATTGTGAGACACCTCTAGGCACTACTGCAGTACACATGATTATAGAAAAGTTTGATTAAAACAATGTTGACAGCTACTGTAGACATTTATTATCTGTCCTTTCAATATCAATGATTATGATTTAAGTACAAACTGTGATTTAAGAAACAAGTTCAATCAAGTGACATTTAAACCAAGCTAGCCTCTTGAAATCCAGCAGGGGGAGTAGAAGGACCTTCCCTTGTAATGTCTGGACAACACTCAACATGCTGTTCAGCTGCATTGAATACACTGGTTAACAGACTACAGCCAGTAGAGGGCACAGAAGCAGTGGTTTGCTTAGTTATCTCAAGACCTGGCACTTAGCTTAGACTCTATGCAGAGTTGGGCAAACTACAGCCCGTGGGCCACATCCGGCCCGGGGGACCCTCCTGCCTGGCACCTGAGCTCCTGCCCCGGGAGGCTCGCCCCCAACCCTTCCCTTGCGGTTCCCCCTCCCCCGCAGCCTCAGCTCACTCTGCAGCCCACGCAATGCTCTGGGCAGCAGGGCTGCGAGCTCCTTGGGCAGCGCAGCTGCAGAGCCCGGCCTGACCCGGTGATCTGTGCTGCACGGTGGCGTGGCTGGCTCCATCCGGCCGGCGCAGCTGTAGCGCCGCCAGCCACTGGTGCTCCAGGCAGCGCGGTAAGGGGGCAGAGAGCGGGGGGGTTGGATAGAGGGCAGGGGAGTTCAGGGTGGTGGTCAGGGGACGGGGCTATGGATAGGGGTCAGGGTGGTCAGAGGGCAGAGAATGGGGGATTGAATGGGGGCAGGGGTTCCGGGAGCAGTCAAGTAGAAGGGGTGGGCAGTCAGGAATGAGAGGAGGGGTTGGATGGGGTGTCAGGGGCAGAGGTTCCGGAGGCGGTCAGGGAGAAGGGTTGGTTGGATGGGACAGGGTTCCCGAGGTGGGGGGGCAGTCAGGAATGAGAAGAGAGGTTTGATGGGGTGGCGGGGGGCAGTTGGGGTGGAGGTTCCAGGGGCTGTCAGGAGACAGGGCGGGGGTTGGATGGGGCAGGAGTCCTGGGGGGGGCCATCAGGGGGCGAGAAGCAGGAGGGGTCATATAGGAGGCGGGGGCTGGACCACGCCTGGCTGTTTGGGGAGGCACAGCTTCCGCTAACCAGCCCTCCGTACAATTTTGGAAACCCGATGCGGCCCTCAGGCCAAAACGTTTGCCCACCCCTGCTCTATGGGTATGTTTAAACTGCACACAAAAAAAACCTGCATGGCACCAAGTTTCAGAGCCCAGGTCAAAGAGAAGTGTAGACATTCATGCTCAGGTTGGAGCCTGGGCTCAGAAACCTGGAGAGCGGCTTGGGTCTCAGAACCTGGGCTCCAGCCTGAGCAGAAACATTGTTAGCCCTGCAGCGCAAGCCCGCATCAGTTGGCCTGGGCTCCGAGACTCGCTGCCATGCAGGTTTTTTTTGCAGTGTAGACATATGGAAAGGCTGAAACCTTCGAAGGGTTTTATGAGGCTTCTGAGAAAGCCTATTCAAATCAGTTATTCTGTCCTGTGATTTTTGCCCATATGGCACATTTGAAATGAATTCTTGTTAGTCTTTTTGCTAGGGAAATGAAGGGAGGCTCCTGAGTCTTTTTAATATTGCTGCCTAAGCATGGATGTAAGCTTTCTCTGTTCCGCTCTGCCAAATTGAGCCTCATCTGCTGCCCAACCACTGTTTCTGTGCTGGCCTATCTTGAGCACAAATTGTTAATTGAGCAAATATACAGAAGTCTACAAAAATAAAAGTCTCCAAAAAAAGAATGGGTCCCCAGGCCACAAGGCTCGTAATGAAGGAAGGATGGCCTGGTGGCTAAGGCACTGCACTGGAACTCAGGAGATCTAGGTGCTCTTTCTGGTTCTGCCACAGACTTCCTGTTTGCTTTTCAGCAAATGTGCCTCAGTTTCCTTTCTGAAAAATGGGGATAATACTTCCCTACCTCACAAGGCCATTGTGAGGGTAAATGTTTAATGAGGCATTTATACTATGACAAAGAACTCTATGGACAAATAAATTATACCAACAATAGGATTAATACAGCTGGGAAACTGATCAGAAGTCAATATGAGCTGGTTACTGGACTGTACAGGCTAGCAGATTGGTTCCAGATATGTGAATGCAACTAGTATGGATTCATCTGATTGCATTAGCACTAAAACATCAATAACCATCTAAAAATGTATTAGAACCACATTAAATGCCTCCTCTTATTAGACTAAAAAGATATTTTTTTACTTAGAGTTAGGTTCAGAAGCCCAAGCCATACCTTACCTGAATACTCAAAACCCTTCTTCATTTGAACTGTCTTATGTGCATAATTAAAGGTGAGTGGGGTTTTTTATGAATAAATCTTAATCAGTATGGTATGGAAAAGGTGCATTACAGTACATATGACAAAGCTTACTAGAGAATATAAAATATGTGGATTTCAATACTGCACTGCAATGCAGCGGGACTCACCACCATGGTGCCTCCTGCTGGCCGTGCTGGGAATTAGCTCTTGGTTCCCAGTGCGCCTTTCTCTACTGGTGTCTCACCACCATCACTTCTGCTCCACCTGTAAGACCCTCATCACTCCCCAAACTGCAGCATCCTCTTCTGGGCACAGCCCTCCGCCTGTGCCCCACTCCACTTTCTCCCCCCTTCTGGGGGGGAACTAGCTGTCTCTAGTCCATCTACTTGCTGCTGTGGCCTACTGCAGCTTTCAGTCTAGCCCCTCACCTTAAGGGGTAAACTGCAGTTTGAATACTGGCCACCCCCTCTGGTGCAAGTGGGGGGAAAAGAGGGGGCAGGCCTACCCGCTACTCCAGGCCCCAACTCATATGCTGCCACTCCTCCAACTCCCACCACCTATTTTCTTGAGCCACATGCCCATAGCCCTAGCACCTTCCCAGCCCTTTGTATCAGGGGCCTCAGTCTGGAGCTCCCTATTGCTCTCCTGACCTTGCCCAGCACTGCTCTATCTAAGGTACTCCTCTAAGGCAGCCAGTCCTCCCTTGTACTCCAGGAAGAGGCTGCCCCTGCTCTGTTTGAGCAGCCTTTTTTATATGGCCCTCCCTGGCCCTGATTGGCTGCTCCAACAAATCTTCTCCTGATTGGCTCTCTACAAGCCCTCAACCTTCCTGAGGGCTGTTTTAACCCTCCATCTACCTGTGTGGGGCAGCCGCCTCACCACATGCACCATTGGAGTCAATTTGAGTTGACCAAGGATTTTGTCAGAATCAGGCAGAATATCCCCTTATGCTTGTTTTATAAATTGGGAATAAATACGGGTGCCCAACTTCCATACTCTATGCCCTTCATTAGTTTAAACAGCTTAATAGTATCTTCTGTTATTCATTTCCATTCTAAATTTAACCATCTCACACTTTTCAATCTCTCCTCCTATGGAAGTTTTCCTATGCCTCTAATCATCTTGATATCCCTTCCATTTCTGCTACATACTTTATTTAAAAAAAAATAATAACTAAAAATATATTCAAAATGGGCTATACACCTCTACCCCGATATAACGCTGTCCTTGGGAGCCAAAAAATCTTACCGCGTTATAGGTGAAACCGCGTTGTATCAAACTTGCTTTGATCTGCTGGAGTGCGCAGCCCCGCCCCCCAGGAGCACTGCTTTACCGCATTATATCCGAATTTGTGTTATATCGGGGTAGAGGTGTACTTTATAATACAGTGACTGTAGTTGCATTGCACTTATAGTATAATTGCACATTGGTTATGCTTTTCAGTCCCTGTAATTAACATAACTGAAGGTTAACTTCATAACTTGATCCTTTATTATCCTTTTTATTTCCATACTTAGTACATTATACTGTAATTTCTCTAAAGTTATCCCTTTTGATACACTACAGGATCCTATAACCAGACAATAAAATAGATGACTGAACTACCCCAAGAACTTCATAGTTAATACATGTATTTTTAGAATCCAGGTATATTATGTATGTTTCACAACCAAAATTATACCTTCAGACTAATTTCAATGTAAATGCAATGTACTTAATGTACCTGGATTTTAAAGCTACATGTTTCAAACTAACGGGGTATTAAATAATTCCATTGTGTATTTAGACTGAGATATATGAATGATTGATAGTTACAGATATCAGAAAGCACAACTATATTGTAATTACTCTGTAATTAAAATCACTGTATTATAAAGTACATCCAAATTACCTTCTGTGTTTCAAACTCTCCACCACAGTGCCAAAATAAAAAACTGTTAGCCAAAAACAATTAATATTTCAACTGAGCCACAACAAGGCATGGATTAATAGGCTATTGATGTTTCTGTGTGGATGAAATCATTTGGCCTATGGCCTTGTGCCTTACGAAGTATCCATAATGCACACCACTAGCCAACTAATATATACCTTGTTGTGGCCTTACAGTCCATCTGTTGCTATCTTGGCCAGCAGTACCAGTTTCAGCAACATACTTTTCTGATAGATTCACATTGCTCAGTTATGAATCTTCAGAATTTTGGAGGGAGGCGGGTAAACCTACCATTAAACCCTACCACCTGATTAAATCTGGCAACAGAGCTACCTCCTATTTAGCATCTAGCTAGCTTGTCTGCCCATCTTATACATTCTTTTTTGGGTAACATATGAACTAATTCAATTTGGATATTGCATTATAAAATAAGCTGGAACAAAAGGTATCTTATTTTTAACCCTATATCAGTCTGGAGCGAAATCCTGTTTGCTTGACCTCCATGGCCTCAATTGAGTACAGCACTTAAAGTACATGCTTAACTTTGAGAACATGAGTAAGCACAACCTTACTTAGCAAAGCAGTTAAGCACATGCTTAAGTCTCATTGAAGCCAATGGAACTTAAGCATGCTGA